GGCTTTACTTGAAGAAGGTCTTTGTAGAAGTATTCAAGTTAAAACGATGCCATACTGGTTTAAGGGGAGTCCCACTGGTGTTGTAACACATACAGGAGACACCAGAATTATATGATGAAACAGAGATCCTGGGTTTACAAAGCAAAGGAATAAGAAATACTATTAAAAGCTAGAAACAATAAAGGATTCTTCCTTAATCTTCAGAACCAGGCCCCACAGACACCTTGATTTCATAGTTGCAGCCTTGGTCCACAGGAAGTTAAGTTTCTGGTGCTTCCCCTAGTCCCCCTTTTTTTGGGGCTGGAAATTGAATCTAAGACCTTCCACATGAAAGAGATGTACTCCAATACAGAGGTTCATATTCTAGCCCCCAGGTTTTGTTTGTAAGACAAGTTATTGATACACAGCCCAGGCTGTTCTCAAACTCTCAATTCTTCTGCCTCAGTTCCTGAACGCTGGGATAACAGGTACACACCACACCTGGAGTTTCCATTTTTAAGCCAGCTATACTAGACTAGCCAGGCATAATGGCCCACATCTATAATCCCAGCATTTACAATCCCAAGGTTGATCTCAAATTCCCAATCCTCCTACCTTTATCCCCTAAATGTGAAGGTTACATGTACACTGTCATACTTGATAGCCCTTGGATTTCAGAGTTATACAGCCTCTACGGCCTAGGGTGACCCTGAACTCATGATCCTACTTCTACCAATGCTGGGATTAGGAGCGTACAACACCACGCCAAGGTTTACGTGTCTGAACAAGCTCTGGGTATTTATAAAAATTTCAGAAAAGGGAGTGAGAAAAATGGAAAGACAACAATAAAAACAAAAGCACACACCTCTCGAAGAATGGCATTGCCATCGTTGGTCATCACGATGCCTCCCATTGGGTCCAAAAGCATCTAAGAAAAAGCAAAAGTGGGGAACTAGAAAAAGACAAGATCTTTTGAGTAAATTGGGAGCATGGGGTTCTTGGGAGAGGGTAGAAAGGGAGGGGAAAGGCAGGGAGGGGAGCAGAGAAAATGTAGAGCTCAATACAAATCAATTAAAAGAAAGGAAGAAAACGCAAAAGTCTCAGACATAACAAAAAAGGAGGACTTGGAGTTTGAATTCCAATAAAAGAAAGTCCAACCTTCATCATAGATTTAGGTCCCAAACATGTCCGGATGATGTCTGCAATTGTCTGTTGGTAAGGAAACACAAAACAGAAAGTACAAATCAGAAAACACTGTGATTTGGAGAATAACAGACAAAACCAGTACTTTGTTTTAAACAGGGTCTCACTAGTATCTCTGGCTGGTCTTGAATTTAGAGATGCTTTCGCTTCTCAAGTGATGGGATTATAGGCGTGCTCCACCATGCCCAGTTCTGACTAGTGTTTTGCCTGCATACATGTTTGTGTACCAGATGCAAGTCTGGTGGCCATAGAGGCCTGAAGAGCACGCTGGATCCCATGAAACTAGAACTGGAGTCACAGGAGTTTTGTGAGCTACCATCTAGGTTTGAGAAATGAAATTTGTCTTCTAGCCGGGCAGTGGTGGCGCACGCCTTTAATCCCAGCACTTGGGAGGCAGAGGCAGGCGTATCTCTGTGAGTTCGAGACCAACCTGGTCTACAAGAGCTAGTTCCAGGACAGGCTCCAAAGCTACAGAGAAACCCTGTCTCGAAAAACCAAAAAAAAAAAAAAGAAATTTGTCTTCTACAAGAGCAAATGCTCTGAACTGCTGAGCCAACACTCCAGCCAGTCAGTTTTAACAATGACACTTGACAATAAGGATGGCAACTATTTTACACACAGCAATGAATGACCTCTCTTTCACACACAGCGTGTGCAAGGCCTACTAGTTTTAATGTCCTTAGAGCTCAGCCTTAATATTTTCACTGACAGCGGCCTCCAGGCCACCTAAAATCAAGTCTTGTACTCACTCAAGAGATATTTACTTGGGAGACAGAGGCAACAAAGGGGGCAGGGGCGGGTCTGGAGAGAGGACTGGTTGCTCTTCTGGAGGATCCAGATCCGAGTTCCAGCACCCACATGGCTCACTCTCACAACAATCTGTGACTCCAGGTTCAGGGGATCCGCCCACCTCTTCTAGCCTTCTTGTACGCCAGGAATGCACATGATACACATACATGCACGCATACATACATATATATGCACATGATACACACACATACATGCACGCAGCTTATAAAATCTCCCTCCCCATACCACCACCAAGGAAATGCCTTGAAAAAGCAATTTTGCCTTTGCTTAATTGTATCCTCTGAAGGCAGATCCACAGAAAGCTTATATCACAAATTCAGAACAAACTCATACAAACACTGAAAATGTGTGCTACCTTGGCAGCATTGATATTTCCAGACTGAACTTTTCTTCCAGATTCACGCTTTGTATTCTGACCTAGAACAGATATAAACACATGTCAACGGCCCAGCATACACAAGCAATTCATTTCCCACCTTAAGAGAAAATGTTTACATTTTAAAATCTGTGTATGTATGTATGTGTATGTCAGGTGCACAAACACTCGTCAGTGTGGAGGTCACATAACAGGGTTCAGGAGTTGACTATCACATGTGTGCCAGGGTTAATCCTTGTTATCAAAGCCAGGTGTGGTGAAGCATGCCTTTAATTTCAGTGCTAAGAAGGCAGAATCAGGAGGATCTCTGTGAGTTGGAGGTCAGTCTGGTCTCCCTAGAGAGAATTTGTCTCAAATGAAACAAAAGCAACAAAACACATCTCTGGCTATTAGGCTTGGTGGCAGGTGCCTTTTTTACCTAATGAGTTAGTTATCCCACCAAACCTATTTAACAACTTTTTTTTTTTTTTTTTTGGATTTTTCGAGACAGGGTTTCTCTGTAGCTTTTGGTTCCTGTCCTGGAACTATCTCTTGTAGACCAGGCTGGCCTCGAACTCCCAGAGATCCGCCTGCCTCTGTCTCCCAAGTGCTGGGATTAAAGGCGTGCGCCACCACCGCCCGGCTATTTAACAACTTTTTAAAATAAAAATAAATACAAAGATTTTCGATTTTGAAGACCAGAAAACTGTTTAGGGCTAGGCACTGGAGAGACAGAATCCAAGGCCAGCCTGATCTATAAAAACTTGCGTAGGGGCTGGAGAGATGGCTCAGTAGATAAAAGCAGGAGAGGCTCTTGCAGAGGACCCTGGGTCAATTTCCAGCACTAACTAACATGGCAGCTCACAACCAGTGCCAGGGGATGTGATGCCCTCTTATAGTGTCTGCAGGCACACAGATATATATGCAGGCAAAATACACATAAAATGAATAAAATTAAAAACAAACCTAGAAACTGCTTATATGTACCCTTTAGCTCTTTACTTCTCAATTTTAGCCCCTGGTACATAAAGATATAACCTGGAATACTTCAATTTCAGAATCCTGATCAATACTCTCCTGTAGGCTCACATATTTCCAGCGGGGATTCATGCCTAAGGATGGGGAGCGAAGTGAGGCAAGTGCACATCCCTCACCAACTCCTGGGAAGAGAAGCCATAGTCTCAAAGATTAGTGACCAAGAAAGCCTGGTTGCGAGGCTGGAACCATTTGGTTCAGTGTTTAAGAAAATCTGGCTGCTCTGCCAGGATCCAGGTTCGATTCCCAGGCACCCATCGTGGCTCACAACTGCAGTTCCAGGGGATGTGATGCCTTCTTTTGGTCCCCACAGGCACGAGACACTTATGTGGTACGCAGACACACGTGCAAGAAAAACACCCATACACATAAAGACAGAAAAAAGAAAACCACCCAACACACACGATGTACCCAAAGAAAATTTAATTCCCAAGGAATCTCACGCTAGAATAAGACGGGAAACTTGTCTCGCAGGAGAGGAGAGCAGTGACCCTTATGCCTCTGGTCTGATGCTTGAGTTTAAGCCCAAGGACTTGTCTGTGGGTGGGTGGGAAGGGTGGTGTCACCGAACCCCTTTGTGACCATATCGAATAATAATCTTTTTCTGTTTTTCTATTTACTATGTTTAACTAGTCAAACCTGGCTTAACAGCTCCCCTAACAGAAAAGGCACTGGTGCTCTTTACTCAAGCAATGAATGGCATTTCCTAAAGGGGAAAGAAAACCAAGAGGAATTGGAGGAACTTAACTAGTTGAGGCAAGGCGTGCCACTTCCGAACAAGCGTCGCTGAATGGCCGCTACCGCCAAGATGCTACTTGCGATCTGCCAGTAAAGGCAGCTTTACTTTACCAACTTAACTCCCAATCCTTTAAAGAACTACTACAGCCTACTAATACTGACGTTAAAGCACGGATTAAGCGATTTGTTCTAGGTCAAGCCGCTAAGGGATGGACCCAGGATGAGGCAAGGCCTAACGTTAAGAATGATTATTCCCAAACTACATGCCGGAAATCATGCTGGAAAGGACACGGGGGCGTGGAGGGTGGCGGCTAAAGAATGGAACGCGAGTGGGATGGAGCACACGTAAAGATGAGCGACTCCAAGAGCGTAAAGGCATTTTGTCAAAGGAGGGCGACGGGAGCTGATAGGAGAGAAAAACCAGAGAAGGCGCTTCCAAAACGACAAGGCGGTTGGAAGATACGGGGGGGGAGGGGGGGGCGAGTCATGGCGGGACGGAGCTGGGCAACCCAGGCCAGCGTGGGGGAAGAGGGGCGGAGGAAACCACCGCCTCCCTGAACTCACTGAGCACGAGCACTGGACGGTGGCCCATCATGGCGGCACGATGCGGAGCCGAGGACCCAGAGCTGGGGGAACCGGCAGAACCTTCTGGAGAGAAGAGCAGCGGAGAAAACGCTGCCTCCTCGGGACTGACACAGAAACATGCTACCATCTGAAGGGCCGCCAATCACTAACCTCACTTTATTGGTTGGCAGGAACATACACCAATAGCCGGTATTAGCCCCGCCCTTACGTAAGAAAGGTTAGGCAAGTTAGATGGAGAGGACACGATGGGGGGGGCCCTGGGAGACGCAAGCGCCTGCGCACTAGCGTGGCCGCTCCCGGCCGCGTGCAGACGGGATGTCTGCGCAAGCGCCGAGGTTCGGCCGGTTGGCTGGCTCACTACAGCGCTTGCGTACCAACTACAAGGGCGGGTGCTGGGGTTGAGGCTTTGAATTAATGCTGCAGGTGAGGTCATGAAACTCTTGTTTTGTCCATCAGTTCTCGTCCGACCTTGAAAGTCAAGAAAGGCACGACAGTTTTTCACTTTTTATTGCAGCTTTTGCAACCGGGAGGAATAGTGGTACGGGGATAGCGGCCGTGGCCGGAAGGGTTGAGGCAGTGGAAGTTGTTTGCTCACAGGGTGGGGCGGGTACGGCCCTTTTCTGCCCCCGAGCATGCTGGGAGTTGTGGTTTACCTCTTCTAGACTCTATTTTTCTTTAAACAAACCAAAATCCTGTTTTTTAGATGTACTCACTTTTTTTTTTTTTTCAATTTTGTGCGCCACATGGCATGCCTGGTGCACGAGGAGGTAAGAAGAGGAAGTCCGATCCCCTGGAACTAGAGTTTAGGATAGTTGTGATGTGCCATGTAGGTACTGGGAACTGAACCCGCGTTTTCTGCAGCATCAGCTAGTGCTCTTAACTGTTGTCCTATTTTTTTCTTTTAAAAAGAGATTTATTTATTTACCTACATGGTTCTACATGCATGTATGCCTGCATGACATAAGAGGGCACCATATCTCAGTTGCTGGGAGTTGAACTCAGGACCTCTAAAACAACCAGGGCTAAGAGCTGAGCCATCTCTCCAACCCCAGTTCTAAGGTTTTTTTTGTTTGTTTGTTTGTTTTGGTTTTTTGAGACAGGATTTCTCTGTGGCTTTGGAGCCTGTCCTGGAACTAGCTCTTGTAGACCAGGCTGGCCTCGAACTCACAGAGATCCACCTGCTTCTGCCTCCCGATTGCTGGGATTAAAGGTGTGCGCCACCTCCTCCCTGCTAAATTCTAAGTTTTTTTACCTCTTGGGAAAATACATTTACGGCAGTAAGACATAATGAATGAGGACTACTCACCTTCCTGCAATAACCTATTTTATTTCGGGTGTATTATTCACCGCTCACCCTGACCACCAATCTTCAGACAAAGGAGAGGGAGCTAGAGTTTTTAAATTACTCTATTACCATGTGAGAGCTCCACAATTGCCCCGGAACTCCCCATGGAGTCCAGGCTGATCTCAAAGTGGAGGTTACCTTCTTGCCAGAGTACCCCACGTAGGAAAAAAAAAGACTCTAGAAGTTAAATACTTAGAAGACACGAAGGATCATGACATGTTTGTGATGGATTTAAAATTTGGATTTGGTATGGTCTGTCTTCTCCAGTGAAAAGACAATGAAACAAATAACACCTCTGAAAAGAACTGAAAATGATCCAGCCCGGACGGTGGTGGCACACGCCTTTAACCCCAGCACTTGGGAGGCAGAGGCAGATGGATCTCTGTGAGTTCGAGGCCAGCCTGGTCTACAAGAGCTAGTTCCAGGACAGGAACCAAAAGCTACAGAGAAACCCTGTCTCGAAAAACAAAACAAAAAAAGAACAATCATTTGCCTTGTGTGGTGGCACACTCCTCTAATGAACTCCTGAGCCTGAGTCAGGAGGAGAGCGATTTTGATGACTTGTTAACCTGGACTACTATACATCCGGGAGTGATTAAGAGGGTATACTGCTGCTGGGTGGTGGTGGCGCACGCCTTTAATCCCAGCACTCGGGAGGCAGAGGCAGGCGAATCTCTGTGAGTTTGAGGTCAGCCTGGACTACAAGAGCTAGTTCCAGGACAGGAACCAAAAGCTACAGAGAAACCCTGTCTCGAAAATCAAAAAAAAAAAAGAGGGTATACTGCTCTTGCAGAGAACCTCAGTTCAGTTCCCAGGACTGATGTCTGGCTGCTCACAGCCACTTGTAACTCCAGCTCCAGGGGGATCTACAGACATATGCACATATACACATACACATAACTAAACCTTTTTTTTTTTTTTTGGTTTTTCGAGACAGGGTTTCTCTGTGGTTTTGGAGCCTGTCCTGGAACTAGTTCTTGTAGACCAGGCTGGTCTCGAACTCACAGAGATCTGCCTGCCTCTGCCTCCCAAGTGCTGGGATTAAAGGCATGCGCCACCACTGCCTGGCATAACTAAACCTTTTAAAAAGCAGATACCTGGGCTGGAGAGATGGCTCAGTGGTTAAGAGCATTGCCTGCTCTTCCAAAGGTCCTGAGTTCAATTCCCAGCAACCACATGGTGGCTCACAACCATCTGAAATGAGATCTGGTGCCCTCTTCTGGCCTTCAGGCATACATGCAGAAAGAATACTGTATACATAATAAATAAATAAATAAATAAATATTTAAAAAGCAGATACCTGCATTAACTATGAGACAGTATACACTATCATACTTCTGCCTCCCAACATTAGAGCAGCTGTAGTCAGTTTGGATCTGCTGGGGCTGGAGCGAGCTTAAGAAACACAGGCTTGTTTGACTGTGGTCTTCTGATTCTTTCCCAGGCACTGCACCTGTTGCTGTTGAGATGGAGCAGCAGACTAGTAATCCTACTGACCAAAAAGGTGTGTCACGGGCCCCCATCCCCTTCCTCAAAAGCCAGCCCTCTTTATTTACCAGCATTCGTTGTTTTTTTAATTTTTGTTTGCTTGTTTGTTTTCAAGACAGGTTTCTCTGTGTAGCTTTGGTTCCTGTCCTGGAACTTGCTCTTGTAGACCAGGCTGGCCTCGAACTCACAGAGATCCGCCTGCCTCTGCCTCCCGAGTGCTGGGATTAAAGGCCTGTGCCACCACCGCCCGGTTTACTCGGCATTTGCAGAAATGACTCTGGTTTTGTGTTTGTTTGGCCCGGTAACTTTGTTATTTGGAAAGGACATGTGAAGGAGGAGATAGCTCTCACTTCATTGTCATAGTTGTCCTGGAATTCATCTTGTAGCCTAAGTGGCCTCAAATTTGAGACAACTCTTTTGCCAAAGCACCCCACATCCCAATATTGGGATTATAGGCATGACCTGCTGCATCCAGCTTTTGTTGTTGTTGTTGTACACACAGGGTTTCTTGGTGTGTACTCCTGGCTGTCCTGGACGAGACTCTGTAGACCAGGCTGGCCTTGAACTCACAGAGATCCACTCCGGAGTGCTGGGGTTAAAGATGTGCACTGCCACTGCCCAGCATTCTTTTTTTTTTTTTTTTTTTTTTTAAGATTCTTGCTATTGGGGGCTGGAGAGGTGGCTCAGAGGTTAAGAGCACTGACTGCTCTTCCAGAGGTCCTGAGTTCAATTCCCAGCAACCCCATGGTGGCTCACAGCCATCTGTAATGAGATCTGGCGCCCTCTTCTGGTGTGTAAACATACATGGAAGGAATGTTGTATATATAATAAATAAATAAATCTTAAAAAAAAAGATTCTTGCTATTATAGCCCATCCTGGCCTCCAATTTGCAATAGACCTGCCACAGGCTCCCAGCTGCTGAGATAGTAGGCATGTACTACCACGCCTGGCTTTGATACGTTCTTTTTATAGAGTTTCTCAGTAAGTAGAACACAGCTGTGCAGTCTGAAGACCCAGGTTTAATTCTGGCACTGTTATGTGACAGTTATAAAATCCTGACTACATTTCCCAAACATGGGATTCCTCAAGTATAGTGCTGCTAATACTACCTACTTCTTAGGATCATTGTAAAAGATATCTGAGGGCCTGGGGAAATGGCTCAGTGGATAAAGTCCACTGGCCAGACAGTCTAGCTGAATTGATAAACTCCAAATTTTATGAGGGACTCTGTCTCAGAGAAATAAAATGAGGCTAGCTGTGGCGGCCAGTGAACCTTAATCCCAGCAGTCAGGAAGCAGATACAGGTACATCCCTGTGACTTTGTGGCCAAGCTGCTCTACATGGTGAGTTCCAGGACAGCCAGGGCTACATAGAAAGACTCTGCTCCCACCCTTTCCCCCCCAAAAAAGGATATTGAAAAATAAAGTTGAGTGAACTGGAAACATGGCTCAGCAGTGTGGGATTCCCTTTCTGTTAATCTGTGTATTGCCACGAGGCTGTGGTTTATCAGAAAGGATCTGGGTCCTTCTCCTTCGGCAGCTACGTGGCGTCTCCCTGACTACTTTCTCTGTATATCTCTGTTCGGATTTCTTGCCTGGTTTATTCTGCCCTGCCATAGGTTGAATCCCACATCAGTTAAGAGCACTGACTACTCTTCCAGAGAACACAGGTTAAATTCCCAGCACTCACATGACAGCTCACAACTGTCTATAATTCCGATTCCAGATGCCCTCACCTGGCCTCCAAGGTCACCAGGTGTGCATGCAGGCAAAGTGCCCATACACACACATAAAATTAGACAAGTGGAGAGTAATTGAGGAACATAAGTGAGGTTGACCTCTGGCTGCCACACACATGCACATACACAAACACACACAAAAGAAATATGCATGTATGTATATATGTGGTGCATACACATGTATTAGAGGCTGCACATGAGGACCTTATCCTATAAACCCAGCCCTCAGAAGTCTGAGGATAGCTGCAAATTCCAGGGTAGCCTGAGCTGCATTACCCTGTCTCAAAAAAGCAATGTTTATGTGTGTGTGATATTGCATACATGAGAAGTAGAGGCAAGAGGATGGTCACAGGTTCAAAGCCTGCCTGGGACATACAGTGAGTTCCAGGTCAACCAGGACTGTATCTCCATACCGTGTGTCAGAGAGATGGTTCAGCCATTAAGAGCACTGGCATTTCTTCCAGAGGACTGGCATTGAGTGCCCAACACCCACATGGCAGCTCACAATGGTCTGTAACTCCAGTTCCAGGTGATCTGACCCTCTCTTTCTGGCCTCCAAAGGAACCAGGCATGATGTATTACACATGCATACCTTCAGGCGAAACTCTCAGAGACATAAAAAATGATCAAAGATTTGATTTAAAAAAAAAAGCAAACAAAAACGAGCGGCTGATAGAGCAAAGGAGACTTCCGATTTTGTAGGATTTAGTCATTGCCAAGCTTGGCATGCGTATGTGAAATGGGCATTATAGGCAATTTCTTCTGTGGTACTTTGAACAATGGACAAGAATAAGACATTTTTCTTGGCAGATGTGTGTCCCACACCTGTGATCCCAGCACTTGGGGAAGTGGAGGTAAGAAGGTCAGAGTACAATGAGATCCTGCCTCAAAAAGGGGGAAAGAAAAATCCACCTTTCCTAACAACACTGGACACACCCCTGTCCCTAGCCTTCTTTGTTTTAACCCTGTCTGAGGTTATTCCTCAGGGCATTTCCTCCAGCTCCACTGACACACTGGAGGCACTTGATATCTTAGACCTGTGTAAATAAATGAATTAATTAATTTTCCTGTATTTTCCCCGTCAGTGCTGGGGATCAAACCCAGGTTAGGCAAATGCTCTACAATTGCGCTAAACTGCCAGCACTCTCCTTTCCTGATCTTTTAAAATTATATGCATATTTTTTCAAAGGTACATTCCAGAGATCGTAAATGCATGCCACTGTGTGTATATGCATGTCAGAGGCCAATTGGCCAAAGTCGGTTCTCTCCTTCTACAATGTGAGTTCTGAGGGGCTGGAGAGATGGCTCAGAGGGTAAGAGCACTGGCTGCTTATCCGGAGTTCCCGAGTTCAATTCCCAGCAACCACATGGTGGCTCACAACCATCTGTAATGAAACCTGATGCCTTCCTTGCCAGCATTGTATGCTTAATAAATAAATAAATCTTAAAAAAAAAAGCAGTCTACAATGTGAGTTCTGGGGATTGAACTCAAATTCTCAGGCATGGTTCCCATTGCTTTTACCCCAGAGCCATTTGCCATTCCCTTCTCTTTTCTTTTTTATAGAGGGTCTTACTCAGTAGTAGCGTTGGCTTTGGCAGCCCCATTGTTAAACATGCTACTGCTGTTACTTCCTCCCCCATCTGTCCACAGTCTCATAGACTTGAACTCAGTGTGTAGCCGAGGATTCTAGAACTCCTGATCCTCCTGCTTCCACCACTTTACCTATTTTATGTGGTCCTGGGGATCGAACAGTGGACTGAGCTCCACTCAGGCCCACACCTCCCAAGGTCTCTGCTGGGCCCGGCTTTCCCGCTCGCCATTGCCATTTTTCACTGCTGTTCTCTATACTCTGCCGCTCTGTTTCATCCTTCAAATACTTGAGGAACTTTCTTTCTTCTTCTCTTTTTTTTTTTTTTTTTTTTTTTTTGCTAGAGGGAGCTAACTTTTTTTTTTTTTTCTTTCTTTTTGTGGGGAGGAAGGGTGTTTCAAGACAGGATTTCTCTGTGTAGCCTGGTTGTCCTGGAAGTTACTCTGTAGACCAGACTGGCCTCGAACTCTCAAACTCAGGGAACCACCTGCTTCTGCCTCTGGAGTGCTGGGATTAAAGGCGTGTGCCACCACCACTGGCTCATTTCTTTTTTTTTTCTTTTTTCTTTTTCTTTTTTTTTTTTTTTTTTTTTTTCGAGACAGGGTTTCTCTGTGGTTTTGGAGCCCGTCCTGGAACTAGCTCTTGTAGACCAGGCTGGTCTCGAACTCACAGAGATCCGCCTGCCTCTGCCTCCCGAGTGCTGGGATTAAAGGCATGCGCCACCACTGCCCGGCTGGCTCTTATTTCTGTAGCTTCTTTATTCCCTTTTAGTGGCTAACTAGCAATTTGACCTTCTGCCCAAACTTAGTGCCTGCCACCCTTGTTCTTAATAGGCATTTCTGTTTGATTTCCTACTTTCACCTTGAAACCTTTGTAATTATAATTAGATGATAGAACCCCAACTCAAACTGCCTTGAGTACAAAAGGTAATTTAGGGATTTGTGCAGTTTCAGGTGCTCAAGAACTTCAGAAGCCAGCGATCTGGGACTGGAACCATTTCTTCTTCCTTCTGTCCTTGTCCTTTCTTGCTACTAGTCTTGCTTGTATCCACTTCTGATGGTATACTGGCCACATTCAGTACCCTCATTAGGCCCAACTTTATGTCCTCCCAGCACAGCAACTAAAAAAAGCAGCTTCCTTCCTTCCTTCCTCCTTCCTCCCTCCTTCCTTCCTTCCTCTTTCCTCCCTCCTTCCTTCCTCCCTCCCTCCCTCCCTCCTTCCTTCCTCCCTCCCTCCCTCCCTCCTTCCTTCCTTCCTCCTTCCTTCCTCCTTCCTTCCTCCTTCCTTCCTTCCTCCTTCCTCCCTCCTTCCTTCCTCCCTCCCTCCCTCCCTCCTCCCTCCCTCCCTCCTTCCTTCCTCCCTCCCTCCCTCCTTCCTTCCTCCCTCCCTCCCTCCTTCCTTCCTCCCTCCCTCCTTCCTCCCTCCTTCCTCCCTCCCTCCTTCCTCCTTCCTTCCTTCCTTCCTTCCTTCCTCCTTCCTTCTTCCTTCCTCCCTCCCTCCCTCCCTCCTTCCTTCCTTCCTTCCTTCCTTCCATGCATTTACTTGTTTTTTTGGACAGTCTTCTGGGTAGCCCAGGTTAGCTCAGAACTTGCAATCCTCCAGTCTGCCTCCCAAGTGTTGTGATTGTGACACACATCATTGTCCGTTTGTTGGTCCTGTGGCACGAGTGGCTCAACCAGCTTGTTGTCACAGGCGCTGAGTGAGGCGCCAAGATTGCCCTGTGCTGGGCCACTGGCCTATTTTCAGTGTTAAGAAGCTGGAATACCGGGGCTGGAGAGATGGCTCAGCGGTTAAGAGCATTGCCTGCTCTTCCTAAGGTCCTGAGCAACCACATGGTGAGATCTGGCGCCCTCTTCTGTCATGTTAACTCTCAACCATCTGTACTGAGATCTGGCGCCCTCTTCTGTCATGTAGGCAGACATGCCGGCAGGACATTCTATGCATAATAAATAAATCATTTATTTATTTATTTATTTATTTATTTATTTATTTATTATACAATATTCTGTCTGTGTGCATGTCTGCAGGCCAGAAGAGGGCACCAGACCTCTTTACAGATGGTTGTGAGCCACCATGTGGTTGCCGGGAATTGAACTCAGGACCTTTGGAAGAGCAGGCAATGCTCTTAACCACTGAGCCATCTCTCCAGTCCATAATAAATAAATCTTAAAAAGAAAAAAAAGGGAAGGTGTCTGGGGGAAGAATAATTTCCCAGAGTGACAGTTACTCCGTAGATGAGAAGGTGAATGTCTGCGATGAAACTTAGCAGCCCCTCAAAGTCAGTTTTTCCTTCTGGTTGGACTGTTTTTGCCAAAGGTAACATAGTTACCATTTTTAGAATCTCTTCTAGAGCCAGATGTGGATCACTCTTAGAATTCCAGCACTTGTCAAGTTGAGGCAGGAGGATTGTCGTGAGTTCAAAGGGACCATGGGATACATAAAGAATACCAACCCAGCCTTGGTTGCATAGCAAGACTATCTCAGAAAAACAAAAAACTTTAACATGTGCAACTCATTGTATTTAATATGTATAATTAAAAGACAATTTGATCTTTTTTTTTTTTCCTCAGACAGGGTTTCTCTGTAGCTTTGGAGCCTGTCCTAGAACTCTCTGTAGACCAGGCTGGTCTAGACCTCACAGAGATCCACCTGCCTCTGCCTCTGGAGTGCTAGGATTAAAGGTGTGTGCAACCACCACCTGGCTTTTTTTTTTTTTTTTTTTTTTTTTTGAGTCAGGGTCTCACCATGTAGCCTTGGCTGGCCTGGAACTTGCTATGTAGATCCCTAGAGCTGGCATTCCTGGTGGTTATGAGCTGCCTGCAGTGGGCTCTGGAAGAGCACCACACTCTTAGCTGCTGAGCCATGTTTCCAGACTTGAAATATGATTTTTAAGTGTTAACGACCAACCAATTCCTATTAAGATAGGGTCTTACTATGTGGTCCTGGCTGGCCTAGAACTCTCTCTGTAGACCAGGATGGGACGGACATGTGGCTATTCTTAGTGCTCACAGAAATCCCTGCTGGCCTCTGCCTCCTGGATGTTAGGAGTGACAGCGCGAGCCACCAGCTCGACTTCCTCATACTTTCTTTCTTTTCTTTTCTTTCCCTCCCTCCCTCCCTTATGTATACAGTGTTCTGTCTGTGTGCTTGCTGGCCAGAAGAGGGCACCAGATCTCATTACAGATGGTTGTGAACCACCATGTGGTTGCTGGGAATTGAACTCAGGACCTCTGGAAGAACAGTCAGTGCTCTTAACCTCTGAGCCATCTCTCCAGCCCTCCTCATACTTTCTTACCTTAAAGGTTGAGGGGCTATTTATTACGTTAAGAGAAACTTAAACATCTCAGATTTGGTTCCACAGAGAGTCTTCTCTGGCCCATTCAAATGTCAGTGGTGATTGCCCCCTTCTCTCTCTGCCTCCTCTTCCTCCTTGCTTGACTGGCAGTTTACTGGGGCTTCTCACCCTCCAGTCTTATTTTTGCCTTTTACGTTATCTTTTTTCCTATTCTGCTCCTTAAAAGCTTAAATGTCCCCACAGGGAGCCTCTGTAAGAGTTGGGGGCCCCTCACAGTTGGCTAAGAACACACCAGGACTCCACATTCTTCTTACTATAAAGGAGATTTATTACCATAGAGGAACAAGCAAGTTGGGGAGGGAGGGGAGACTGCCTCTGTACTGGGCAAAAGCAAACAGCAATCTTTTAGGGTGAGTTAGTGAGTCCTAGTTGGACAGGTTAACCAGTGTAGCCAAATAATGAATTTTGATTGCCGAATCTTGGAGTTTAGTCTCAGGATGAGTCAGTGGCCAAACAAGGGAACAGACCTTGGGTGTTAGCTTTAGGAATGTAATCTAATGGTTTAGCAAGCAAGAGAGAAGGGTAAAAGGCTGGCTCCAAAGCCACAGAGAAACCCTGTCTCGAAAAAACCAAAAAAAAAAAAAAAAGGGTAAAAGGCTAAACCTGTCAGCAGCATGTTTGTCATGTGGGGTCTGTTAGAGAGGCTCAGCCTCCTGTAATATGCCTGCGTTGTATTCTCCCCTCACCTTTTTACACTTGTTTACATGTGGCCTTAGCTGCCCATGCACACCCACAACCCCAGTAGAAACCTTGCTTTTACCCAGGGTATTTTTTTGTGGATATTTATTTATTAATTTCAAGACAGGTTTCTCTGTGTAGCCCTAGCTGTCCTGGAACTTGCTTTGTAGATTGCCCGCCTCTGCCTCACAAGTTTGCCCAGGTTTTAAGACTCACTATATCCTTGTGTGGTCCACAGAGAGTCTTGTATAACCCAGGCTGGTCTGAGCTTCCTGTGTAGCAGAGGTTGACCTTGAACTTCTGATCCTCTGGCCTCCACCTCCTATCCTGGAATTGTGAACATGCACGATGAACCTGAAGATGTTTCACCTGATTCAGTGTCTCCCTAAGCTGATAATGAGCAGCTAAGAAACTATGCTGTACATGTCTTTTGTGTGTTTCTCAGTGTCTAGTAGAGTAGTTTTTATGATTTTTTTTTTTTTGGTTTTTCGAGACAGGGTTTCTCTGTGGCTGGCTTTGGAGCCTGTCCTGGAACTAGCTCTTGTAGACCAGGCTGGTCACGAACTCACAGAGATCCGCCTGCCTCTGCCTCCCGAGTGCTGGGATTAAAGGCGTGCGCCACCACCGCCCGGCGTTTTTATGATTTTTTAAAAATGCTAATGGGTCCCCCACAGAGCAGCCGTGATGCAGGCAGGTCTGAGCAGCTAGAGGCGGGAAATGCTAGTGGGTCCTGGTGCTGAACCCCAGAGCGGCTCTCGGCAGAGTGTGTGTGTGGGGGAAACGGACAGGAGACAGAGACAAGGACAGACATAACATGTTGAATATTTATTCAGGGGGTTATGGAGGGGAAAGGGAAAAGTGGGGGGCAGAGAGAGGAGAAAGAGACAGAAGAAGGGAGAAAACGGAGAGACACGTGTGCTCCAAGAGGGAACAGTGAGAGAGAGAGAGAGAGAGAGAGAGAGAGAGAGAGAGATTGATTTGATTCAAGGCAGGGGGTGGGGTGGGGGTGTCTGCAGGGAGTGGGCGTGGCTTTCCCCTTAAAGGGCCTAAACCATAACAGTAGTGATCAAGGAAGTAAATTAGACTTTTCCTCCTTCCATGCCTGGCTTCAGTTAACTCTCATTGGTTTCCGTATCTTCTCTTTGTGTGTCTTCCTGGTCCTTGGGTAGGACCTGGTGTCTGCTTTTGTAACCAGGCGCAGGGATTTAATAAGAAAGGATTAAAGGCGGTCTCACACTTGCAGTTCCACCTTTGAGAGGCCAGGGCAGGAGGGTCTTGGGTTCAAGGCCAGCCTGGGTCACCCTCTTACGATTAAAAGAAGGGAGAGGGGGCAGGGGAAGGCAAGCCAATCCCTGTTAGAATGAGTTTTGATTTAGTCACTGATTTTCAGCCAAAGAGGAAGATAATGCTGTGTGTCTGTGTCCAGCAAAACCCTCCCCCAGTTATATTAATCTTCAAGCAAATTCCTTGCCAGCCACTTTCGTGAACATCCAGACAACAGAGCTGCCTTCAGGTAAGACTGGGGGTTGGGGGGGGAGGCTTCCCAAGCAGACCAGCAGGGGCAGAAGGTGCAAAGTATCTTCTTCCCTTGGGCAGTGCTAGCTCCTCATCAAAGCAACCCTCTTGCCTGCTTTCACTGTGTAACATGTTGATTGTTTAGTTCTCTTGGTTTCTTCTTCCTCCCAGTTTTGCTAATCCTGTTCTTTTCTCATTTATTAGCTACTTGGCTCAACTAGGCAGGGGTAGGACCACAGTCTTTCTGGTTGCTACTCGTGATTGTTAAAAGGGACCAGGGAAGCCGGGCGGTGGTGGCGCACACCTTTAATCCCAGCACTCGGGAAGCAGAGGCAGGCAGATGGATCTCTGTGAGTTCGAGACCAGCCTGGTCTACAAGAGCTAGTTCCAGGACAGGCTCCAAAGCCACAGAGAAACCCTGTCTCGAAAAAACCAAAACAACAACAACAAAAAAACAAAAACAAAAACAAAAAAAAAAGGGACCAGGGAAGGAGGTGGTAACTTTAGCTTGGATTTATTCATCTTCTCTGGGGGAAGTCAGTGGATACTTGAATACTTATTTATGGGAAGCTCAACTCTAAGTAGCCATAGCCCCAAAAACAGGTAGTGTAATTATTATGTTAACTAAGCTACCTATGAACAACGCAATTGAAAACGTAAACTGAACCCGGCAGGGGTGGCGCACGCCTTTAATCCCAGCACTCGGGAGGCAGAGGCAGGCGGATCTCTGTGAGTTCGAGACCAGCCTGGTCTACAAGAACTAGTTCCAGGAGAGGCTCCAAAACCACAGAGAAACCCTGTCTCGAAAAACCAAAAAAAAAAAAAAATAAAATGTGTTTTGAATATTTATGTCCAGTGACTTTTTTTTTGTTTTTTGTTTTTGTGAGACAGGGTTTCCTCTGTGTAGCCCTGGCTGTCCTGGAACTAGCTCTTGTAGACCAGGCTGGCCTCGAACTCACAGAGATCCACCTGCCTCTGCCTCCCAAGTGCTAGGATTAAAGGCGTGCGCCGCCACCGCCCGGCGTCCAGAACTTAGGCAAACGAGCTATTACTGAGTATACCAGATGACCATAAACACTACAATAAAAGTAGGAAGGGGAGGGGCGAGTTGTAATAATTGATTTCAAATGAAAACAAAACTGACAGGTGAGCCTCTGGAGGTGACTGCTGAGCAGAAGTGCGTCTGGTTTGGGTTGTACCTGGGAGGATTCGTTCTCTCATGGTGTCCTTCCAACCTCACTGCAATTACAAAGCCTCTTTCCTTTGCCCCTTTGCTCCCCTGTCACTCTTCCTTCAGGAGCTGGCCAGAAGCCCAAGGAATGCCTAGGACTCCTAGAGTGTGTGTGTGCCAACCTCCAGCTTCAGACCCAGCTTGCCCAACAACAGATGGCTATTTTAGAACACTTGCAAGCTTCCCTGTCACAGCGGGGTCCTGGGCAGGAAAGCAGCAAGGGCTCTCTCCCAGTCTTATATTGCAGGCTGCTGTTAAGTCACCTGCCCCAACTCCATAAATGAACTGTGGAACAAAGATACTGTGTTTGCTTCCTTTTCTCTCCTTTCATAGGCTGGAGGTGGAACTGCTCATTAGATTCTGTGTGTGCTCAGGGATTGAACCCAGGGCCTTCTGCGTGCTAAACATATGCTGTGCCCCTGAGGAACACTCCTAGTCCCGAAGCATATGATTAGTCTACATGTTTCTCATAGGCACCCACTGAGTGTAAATCATCACACAAGGCACTTGGGGTACGTGCATATTTATTAGTGTTCTCAAGAGGAGCAGAACCGATATGGTGGAGACACAGATGTAAAGAATTTGCTTACTTTTTTTTTTTTTTTTTTTTTTTTTTTGGTTTTTCGAGACAGGGTTTCTCTGTGGTTTTGGAGCCTGTCCTGGAACTAGCTCTTGTAGACCAGGCTGGTCTCGAACTCACAGAGATCCGCCTGCCTCTGCCTCCCAAGTGCTGGGATTAAAGGCGTGCGCCACCACCGCCTGGCGAATTTGCTTACCACTTTGCATTGAAATAGTAACATTGGCTGCTTCACACCTGAGAGGCTGAAACCCAGTAGCTGCTCACGCCTGGAGGCTGAGTGCCTTGGCTGTCCCAGTCTGACCCCAAAACCCTCCAGGAGCTACTGGTCTTGGTCACCCATGGCAGCCTGGAGGTGCTGGTTTTGATGTCTGTGAAGGAATCAGCAGCAGCAGTTGAAGAAATCAACTTGATGAAGCCAAGCTACCAAAGGTTGAATCATCTTCTCTTGTTACCTTTTTAAATCTGAGCTGCTACTTAAAGTTGCCACCCACACTTTGGGTAGAGCTCCCCACATCTATTAAGATAACAAAGACAATTCCTCAGTTGAGGTTCCGTACTCAAGTGATTCTAATTAGTGGCAAGTGGATATTAAAATCAACCATTCCAGATAGAAGAGACGGCTCAGGGTTTCTGTCATTTATTAAGATATGTGAGATGCTGTGGTAGTTTGGGTGTAATCGACCCCATAGTCTCATAGGATTTGGCACTTTTAGGAGGTGTGGCTCTGTTGGAGGACATGTGTCACTGTGGATGCAGGCTTTGAGGTTTCCTATGCTCAGGATACTTCCAGTATCTCAGTCGATTTCCTGTTGCCTGCAAGATGTAGGACTCTCCGCTACTACTACCCCAGCACCACGTCTGCCTGCATGCTGCCATGCTCCCGGTCATGATGATCATGGACTGAACTTTTTAAGCAACCCATCCCAATTAAATGTTTTCTTTAGAAGAGTAGTTCTGCCAGGCAGTGGTGGCCCATACCTTTAATTCCAGCACTTGGGAGGCAGAGGTTAGAAGATCTTTGTGAATTTAAGGCCAGCCTGGTTTACAAAGTGAGTTCCAGGACAGCCAGGGCTGTTACACAGAGAAACCGTTTCAAAAAACAAAAACAAAACAAAACAAAAAGGGTAGCCCTGGTCTGGTGACTCTTCACAGCAATGGAAAGCCGTAAGACAATTGCCCAAACTGAGAGGAATTCTGAGGGGAGCATGGAGGTTAGTACTAGAGTAAAGCTGGACCAGTCTTGATCTCAGCGGAGAGACTGACTTTATATACTGTGTGAAGACAGGGCATGACGGGGTGACACACAGGTAAGTTTAAACTTCCTTGGCAGGAAGTTTAGATAAAACCCTAGAAGTTAGAAATAAATCACTAGAAACATAGTCATCAAGGAAGACGTCCAGTGTCAGTCTCTGGCATCACATGCGTACATAGCCGCACACGTGCTCATAAATGCAAACATGCACAGGCACATACGTGACATGTGGTTTGTATGTGTCAGTTTGCTCACTATTGCTGTGGTTCATTGCTTCCTATTAAGAAAGGTTTTTTTTTTTTTTTTGGTTTTTTGAGACAGGGTTTCTCTGTAGCTTTGGTGCCTGTCCTGGAACTAGCTCTTGTAGACCAGGCTGGCCTCGAACTCACAGAGATCCGCCTGCCTCTGCCTCCCGAGTGCTGGGATTAAAGGCGTGCGCCACCACCGCCCGGCTAAGAAAGGTTTTGTTGGGCTGGCGAGATGGTTCAGAGGTTAAGAGCATTGCCTGCTCTTCCGAAGGTCCTGAGTTCAATTCCCAGCAACCACCTGGTGTCTCACAACCATCTGTAATGGGGTCTGGTGCCCTCTTCTGGCCTGCAGGCATACACACAGACAGAATATTGTATACCTAATAAATAAATAAATATTTTTTAAAAAAAGAAAGGTTTTGTTTCAGCTTACAGCTGGCTGTAGTCCATGTGAAGGGGAGTCTACGGCAGAGAGAAACCTAGTGGCAGAGACTGTGAGGAGTACCTGTGCAGCCTGTTTTCTCACACAATCCAGTACCACCCATTCTAGGGTGGCACCACCCACAATGGGTTGTACCCTCCCAAACCAGTCATTGTAGGGAGGAGAGGAAGCCCTGAGTGAGTGGAGTGTGAATGAGTGTGTTGTGTTGACTTAGGCAGCCCCGAGTGAATGGAGTGTGAGTGTGTTGTGTTGACTTAGGCAGCCCCGAGTGAATGGAGTGTGAGTGTGTTGTGTTGACTTAGGCAGCCCCGAGTGAATGGAGTGTGAGTGTGTTGTGTTGACTTAGGCAGCCCCGAGTGAATGGAGTGTGAGTGTGTTGTGTTGACTTAGGCATTGCCATGTCAGGAACTCAGAAGGAAATAGCAAAGCCTTCTCTTCTGGTCCATGTGTGAAAGTTGCTGCAAATGCAGAAAATGTCCACCATGGCTTCTCCCCACTGGATGTTTACAGCCTGAAGACTGTTTCCCTACAGAGACTGCACCTGTCAAGATGAGTTAACCCATCTCCTTGATCCAGCTGTGTCCCGTAACCCCCGCTTCCTGTTTATCTGTATGTAACAACTCCATCTCCTTGACCGGTATGCAGTAACCCTGCCTCTCTGTTCTCAGACTGAGCTTCTGGGTGCCGCGGTTCCTACAAGAGGGAGCCCAACTTTCTGCCTTTGTGTCTGTCTGCACTTGTCTTTTCTCCAGTCCTCCATCCAGCCCAGTCAGGTCCATTCCTTCGAGCCATGGCAAATCATTAACCAAGAAAATGCCCCATAGACTTGCCTGCCCACAGGCCACTGCGATTGAGGGGGGCATTTTCTCAGTTGAGATTCATGCTTCCCAGATGACTCTAAGACAAGAAAGCTAGGCAATGCATGCCAGACAAACATGTCACTATTTAACCATAACCTTTCCTTTTTTATCTGTCCCCAAGGGCTCATACTAATATCAAAATGTAAAATTTGATATAACTGTAAAATATCAGTCTTTAAATTTAAATTTCTCTCTTAACTGTGGACTCCTGTAAAATTAAAGTAAATTACATACTTTCTATTTCAAGAGGAAAGAGCCAGGCCACAGTTACAGTCAAAGAAAAACCAGAAAACCCAACAGTGGCTCGGTGGCCAGTGTGTGGGAGTCACAATTTTCTGGGATCCAAAGGACTTGGTCAGCTGCCTTCTCTGCCTTTCACAGCCTACACAGCTCATCTCATAGGCTCAGGCCAGTTCCCCACCCCACAGCAGCCGCTTTCCTGGGCCATCCCAGGTCCTGATATCTGCAGTATGCTGGGGTTTTCTACTGTAGCTGAGGCTGCCCCTTCACCAGTAGCCTCTCCTGGCACCTTCTCTGGGGCTCTGGCCCTGTCACATAGCACCATGCCTTAGTGCTTTCTATGACCCCTTCATCCTTCAAAATCCACTGCTAGCTCCCTGGATGACTTTTACACATTCACCAAATTTGGCTACCAGCTTGAGAAGCAGTGTTAGTCCTCCTGGACCACTCCTAAACAATATAGTCATGTCTGCCACAGCACTACCCCATGAACCTGGTGTCAAGTCTGTTCTAGTTTGCTCTCCACTCCTGAGACAGACACCATGACCAGAAGGAGCTTGAGAAGAAAGGGTTTGTTCCAGCTTACAGTTGCAGTATCTCAAGGAGGGAAGCAAGGGCAGGAACTGTAGCTGAGGCCATGGATGAGTGCTGTTTACGGGTTTGCTCCCATGGCTTGCTTATCCTGCTTTCCTGGACAACCCAGGACAGCTGCCACAGTTAGCTGGGCTTTCTTACATCGGGACTTGCCACAGGCCAGTCTGATGGTGGCACCTTCTCAGCTGAGGTTTCCTCTTCCTAGATGACCCTCACTTGTGTGTTAAGAAAAACAAGGAGCCGCGTGGTAGTGGCGCACCCAGCACTCAGGAGGCAGAGCAGGCGGATCTCTGTGAGTTGGAGGCCAGCCTGGTCTACAGAGCAAGTTCCAGGACAGGCTCCAAAGCTGCACAGAGAAACCCTGTCTCGAAGGAAGATGGAAAGAAAAAGAACGAAAGAAGGAAGGAAGGAAAGAAAGAGAAAGAAAAAAGAGAAAAGAAACCCCCAGCTCTTGTTCTCCCCCTTGCCCTCCCTCTCATCATATATATGGTGCAGAGCAGAATGCAGAGGGACAGGGCAGACAAACCGCTTTCCTTGCAGAATTATTCTGGTAACAACTATTAAAACCGGACAGCTGTTGCTGACTTTGGGAACAGTAAGGCATGCAGGAGACAACAGAGACCACAGGGGTAGAGGGAGAACGGGAGTTGAAAAACCTACGTAAGGCCGGGCGGTGGTAGTGCACGGCTTTAATCCCAGCACTTGGGAGGCAGAGGCAGGCGGGTCTCTGTGAGTTCGAGGCCAGCCTGGTCTACAAGAAAAAAAAAAGAGCTAATTCCAGGACAGACTCTAAAGCTACAAAGAAACTCTGTTGTCCCAGCCCACAGGTAAGTCAATGGAGACCCTAGAGGAGGAGTGAGAATGGGATGGCACAAGAGACACGAGAGATGGAGACAAGACAGGTTTCTGATAAAGTCTTGTTTATGCAAGGGAATAATCCAGGTAAACACAGGGTGAGGGAAAGGAGGAAGTTCTCCTTGTGTACATGGGTAACTAACTAGGCAACCTAACCACGGTCAGGTGGAAAGTCCCTAACTGCATCATGCAGAAAAGTCAGAATGTTCAGAACATGGGAACAATGGA